GTAGTCGTGTGTGTGTGTGTGTGTGTGTGTGTGTGTGTGTGTGTGTGTACCTTTTAACATCTCACCTCAGAATACACCAAATCTGCCCCATATTCCAAAGCAAGCAATCTCTTTGGCAGAGCCCCAATACGGACCATGGGGGCAAGGATGATCTTTCCCCTGTAATCAAGACTGCCCCTGCTTGAAGCCATACTGTTATTCTTCTGTCTGCGGAGAGATCAAATGCAACAAGCATAAAACTACATTAAACTGGACTTTACTGGAATAAGCTGATTGGGAAAAACTGAGAAAAAAGATAATTTAGACAGCAATTAAAAAAGATAATTAAGACTGCAGTTACTTCTGGCAATTTAAAGGGCCTGGCAGCGGCAACCCCGCAAAGTGATTAACATATTCTAAGTTTCAGTTTTACTTAAATAAATGATATACATCATCCGGATGTCACATAGCATAAAACCATCCATCCATTGAATGGTTTTAAGGTAACTTACCCTCTTTTTTCAAAGATATATCGGACCTTAACACTGTCCTAGTCTCCACCTGGCCAGATCTAGCCGCCACCTATCGCGAGTTTTGACAATACAAGCCACATCCCATGTTATGTTATTACCGCTGAGGTGACACAGTTGAAGCATAAAGTAACGTTAACTTTGTTGTAGGCCTAAAAAGTTACATTTGTGAATATGTTGCATTTAATGCCCTGTGTATATTCACTAGAATTTTAAAAAGAAAATGATGACCAGAAAATGATTGCTGTTCCATCCGCGAGTAACATCAGATTGATGATGATGATGATGCATGTTGTTTTAATTTCTGAATCCGCTTTTCCATCAATATTTTATTTTCAGGGTTACTTTACTAAGTTGATTTTCGAGTAGTCTAAATACTCTATAATTAAAATTAATTTAAAAAAAGTTTTCTTTTCTCTGAATGCAACAATTTTTATAAGCTGCTACAGAATAATTTGCAGCTAAGGTGCATGCTTTCCTTTAATTAGTACTGGTATTGTAATAAAACATCTAATTATGGAATTTTGACTTTATCTGGTCTAGTGTCTGATGCATATGAGATTGGTATACGCGATTTGCAAGGTCATGAGATAGGTGGCACCTGCTTGAGCCTTCGTCTGCATGTGCTGTCCCCTTTTAGCCCAGTAAACGAACGACCTAACCTGAAAAAAGTGTTTAAATTAAAAATATATATATTTAACATAAACTTATTTATTTGTTCATTTATTTTCTGTTTGTTTGTCTGTTTGCTTAGTGGTGGGGTGGCCAAGGATAAAAATGCCCGACTTCACTTGACATATGTTTGTATTCAAATAACAAAAATTAAATGATTCTAAAGGGGCCTATAACAGATAGATCGATAGATTAATATTAATACAATGTCCCCTCACTATTCAATTGACAAACTGTGTGGGATGGTGAGGTGGGGTTAACTGCAGGAACTCACCTCCTTCTCTTCCCCACCCCCCTTCTCACCTCCTTCTCTCCCTGCCCCCCCCCCCCCCACACACACACACACATACAAAGTAAGCGCCTGTCATTTGACTCTGTCTGAATTCAGTAGCCTATCATTAAAGACGTAAAGAGATAGGGGCCTAATGATTACAATAATCATAATTAAGATGGATGCAATCTTATCTTAGGCTTATGAAAACAGTAGGCCTATATAGGCCTATACATTGTTTGCTCATGAAAATATTTTACTGATTTAACTGTTTCAAACTGCCTTTAATACCTGTAGCAACTTCTGTTAATATACAGTAGCTATGCTTCACGTCTTCAGGCAATTACCGTTTTTTTTTTTTTTTTTTTTTTTTTTTTCATCAGATGTCTAAGAACCATAGAGCGAAACGACTACTTAAATCAAACTATTTCACGCGCCTTCAGTAATTTCTCCAAAAGAAACCTCCCCGTGGGAGAATATCAGAGAACAACTAGCCCCGCGCTGCTGCAATACCTACGTTCTTTTTTATTTTCACAGGCGTTGTCAATAAAGGCAGTGTTTGGGTCGGCAGTCCAAGGGCAATTAATTGCATGGGGATAGACATTAACCTTACGTAGACTCTATTCACATTTCACGTTTATCAAAACGACTCTGAACCGGTTTATCATGCACCGACTGTGAATAGTGACGGATCTAGTGAGGATACTGCCCTGCTCCTCCTCCTCTTTGCTATATTTGGGGATTATGATATCTTAAAAGTTGACTTAATAATAGATAGAAAAACACGGAGTCTCTTGTCCTCTGAGTTTCGTGTTTGGATGAAATTAAATTTATGTTAGCTTTCGCTCACTTTGGTAACAATTTACTAACAAATATTATGTTTATATATAACATAAAAATAAAACACAAAGTATGATACCTTGAGCTAGTAATACGCCGTTATAACCAAGTAGATACATTAGATATTTTCCCTAAAATAGTGTTAGATGATGATGATGATGATGATGATGATGTCTCACTTGGTTATAACATTGGTTATATATGCATCTGTAGCATGGCTTACAAGTTATATGGTTACTGTCAGTGGTTAAGGTCTCACCAAGTTGTATACGTAGGTCAGCGATTTGATTTAAGTCTGAAATCATCTGAAAATACCTAAAGAGGCACCGTAGAACGGCCAGCAGTGTGAATGATGTTTTCATGGTTCCGTGATATTTTGCATAGATTGTAAGGAGGTTTATTATTATTATTATTATTATTATATAAACAATACTAAACTGTACACAATGTCAATGAAAAAAAAATTAATTAAATACAGGATTAGGTTAAAATATATTAAGGAGTCAAAGATACTGTAAAAAGGCCTAAACACTTTACTGAAACAAAACCGCGGTTGCGCTTTTGTGCAACAGTCTTAATTGCAATTAATCAGTCTACGTCAACTTTAATGCAATATATAAAAGATTAAGCAAAACGTCAGTCATTTAGATCGGTGGGGTCGTCTCTAGGGCACTTGATTTAAAGAGCACTAACGTGAACGCGTCCCAAGACTAAGCAATACAAGACTTATTCAGACCGTTCGGACTGAGACGGGCGATTCAAATAACTCTAATGCGAACGAAACTGAAGACCGATTAAATCAAGACCAGTTTCAAACCTGCGGGCCAACTACACACCACGCGTCGTGTATTCAAACCGTTTCTCTAATATATTCCGTCGGATTTATGCGTGTCTTAGTGCATACGTTATCTTCACTTCATCACAACACGCATCTAAGTGATAGTTCAACTCGTCGCGGTTTGAATGCATACCTACACTAGACGCGTCTTGTTCCTGAGATGAAATGCAGTTCTGTAGAAGGCGAAAATTATATTGCATTCTTTTAATCGTCGGCTTTTTTGCAGCGTTTGTTTCCTACGTCACAATCCCTGATGCTGTGGTATCTAGCGGTGAGTAACATTTTATCAAAGGGACTTGCAGCATGATTTCTATGTGGAACAACCATACTATCTGTTGATGTAGTTTATACAAATGTACATAGACACGCTGCATATTTTGTAGTTGATATAAACAACACGCCTGCTTAAAATTGCATACAAAATCAAAAGGTGCATCAAGTCAAGTGAAGGAGGGAATGTTTTTGAGCTTGGAAAATAATACATATAGTCTACTTTATTGAGGATCGGTAAGTAGTACTTCTTAAGTGCCTGTGACACCAGGAGGATTCCTTTAGGTTATTTGTTTTTTTAACGNATAAAAAAAGTTTTCTTTTCTCTGAATGCAACAATTTTTATAAGCTGCTACAGAATAATTTGCAGCTAAGGTGCATGCTTTCCTTTAATTAGTACTGCATGGTATTGTAATAAAACATCTAATTATGGAATTTTGACTTTATCTGGTCTAGTGCCTGATGCATATGAGATTGGTATACGCGATTTGCAAGGTCATGAGATAGGTGGCACCTGCTTGAGCCTTCGTCTGCATGTGCTGTCCCAGTAAACGAACGACCTAACCTGAAAAAAAGTGTTTAAATTAAAAATATATATATTTAACGTAAACGTATTTATTTGTTCATTTATTTTCTGTTTGTTTGTCTGTTTGCTTAGTGGTGGGGTGGCCAAGGATAAAAATGCCCGACTTCACTTGACATGTTTGTATTCAAATAACAAAAATTAAATGATTAGGGGCCTATAACAGATAGATCGATAGATTAATATTAATACAATGTCCCCTCACTATTCAATTGACAAACTGTGTGGGATGGTGAGGTGGGGTTAACTGCAGGTACTCACCTCCTTCTCTTCCCCACCCCCCCTTCTCACCTCCTTCTCTCTCTCCCCCCCCCCCCACACACACACACACACACACACATACACACACAAAGTAAGCGCCTGTCATTTGACTCTGCCTGAATTCAGTAGCCTATCATTAAAGACGTAAAGAGATAGGGGCCTAATGATTACAATAATCATAATTAAGATGGATGCAATCTTATCTTAGGCTTATGAAAACAGTAGGCCTATATATACATTGTTTGCTCATGAAAATATTTTACTGATTTAACTGTTTCAAACTGCCTTTAATACCTGTAGCAACTTCTGTTAATATACAGTAGCTATGCTTCACGTCTTCAGGCAATTACCGTATTTTTTTTTTTTTTCATCAGATATCTAAGAACCATAGAGCGAAACGATTACTTAAATCAAACTATTTCAGGCGCCTTCAGTAATTTCTCCAAAAGAAACCTCCCCGTGGGAGAATATCAGAGAACAACTAGCCCCGCGCTGCTGCAATACCTACGTTCTTTTTTATTTTCACAGGCGTTGTCAATAAAGGCAGTGTTTGGGTCGGCAGTCCAAGGGCAATTAATTGCATGGGGATAGACATTAACCTTACGTAGGCTCTATTCACATTTCACGTTTATCAAATCGACTCTGAACCGGTTTATCATGCACCGACTGTGAATAGTGACGGATCTAGTGAAGATACTGCCCTGCTCCTCCTCCTCTTTGCTATATTTGGGGATTATGATATCTTAAAAGTTGACTTAATAATAGATAGAAAAACACGGAGTCTCTTGTCCTCTGAGTTTCGTGTTTGGATGAAATTAAATTTATGTTAGCTTTCGCTCACTTTGGTAACAAATATTATATTTATATATAACATAAAAATAAAACACAAAGTATGATACCTTGAGCTAGTAATACGCCGTTATAACCAAGTAGATACATTAGATATTTTCCCTAAAATAGTGTTAGATGATGATGATGATGATGATGATGTCTCACTTGGTTATAACATTGGTTATATATGCATCTGTAGCATGGCTTACAAGTTATATGGTTACTGTCAGTGGTTAAGGTCTCACCAAGTTGTATACGTAGGTCAGCGATTTCGATTTAAGTCGGAAATCATCTGAAAATACCTAAAGAGGCACCGTAAAACGGCCAGCAGTGTGAATGATGTTTTCATGGTTCCGTGATATTTTGCATAGATTGTAAGGAGGTTTATTATTATTATTATTATTATTATTATTACTATTATTATTATTATTATTATTATTATTATTATATAAACAATACTAAACTGTACACAATGTCAATGAAAAAAATATTAATTAAATACAGGATTAGGTTAAAATATATTAAGGAGTCAAAGATACTGTAAAAAGGCCTAAACACTTTACTGCAACAAAACCGCGGTTGCGCTTTTGTGCAACAGTCTTAATTGCAATTAATCAGTCTACGTCAACTTTAATGCAATATATAAAAGATTAAGCAAAGCGTCAGTCATTTAGATCGGTGGGATCGCCTCTAGGGCAATTAATTTAAAGAGCACTAACGTGAACGCCTCCCAAGACTAAGCAATACAAGACTTATGCAGATCGTTCGGACTGAGACGGGCGATTCAAATAACTCTAATGCGAACGAAACTGAAGACCGATTAAATCAAGACCAGTTTCAAACCTGCGGGCCAACTACACACCACGCGTCGTGTATTCAAACCGTTTCTCTAATATATTCCGTCGGATTTATGCGTGTCTTAGTGCATACGTTATCTTCACTTCATCACAACACGCATCTAAGTGATAGTTCAACTCGTCGCGGTTTGAATGCATACCTACACTAGACGCGTCTTGTTCCTTAGATGAAATGCAGTTCTGTAGAAGGCGAAAATTATATTGCATTCTTTTAATCGTCGGCTTTTTTGCAGCGTTTGTTTCCTACGTCACAATCCCTGATGCTGTGGTATCTAGCGGTGAGTAACATTTTTATCAAAGGGACTTGCAGCATGATTTCTATGTGGAACAACCATACTATCTGTTGATGTAGTTTATACAAATGTACATAGACACGCTGCATATTTTGTAGTTGATATAAACAACACGTCTGCTTAAAATTGCATACAAAATCAAAAGGTGCATCAAGTCAAGTGAAGGAGGGAATGTTTTTGAGCTTGGAAAATAATATATATAGTCTACTTTATTGAGGATCGGTAAGTAGTACTTTAAGTGCCTGTGACACCAGGAGGATTCCTTTAGGTTATTTGTTTTTTTAACTACAAAACCCCACGAACAACCACTGTATGATCATATTACCGATAAGTGTTGGCTTCATTAATTTCGCCAATTCTGTTCGCAATCTTGGTGTACGTTTTGATTAATAGGATATCTGTATGTTTGGTCATTGGTTGGACTGGGGGCTTATATGTGAAACCGCATGATACTAAGAGCATGTGTATGTGTGCGTGCGCGCGTGCGCGCGTGCATGAGTGAGTGAGAGTGAAAGAGAGAGAGAGGGGGGCAGAGATGATCGATTCAGCAAATTCTTTTATGCAAATTCTCTGGATTTTCATGCTATGTAATATTCTTTTTCTCCCACTCATGCTGTGTTTTAAATGAGGCCCGCATTCGCTACACGTATACGTAATGTGCACGTGGTAAATATGCACGAAATTTTACACAAACAAGCACTGATAGATTCTCTCTTATATGTGATATATGTTTTCATGTTTCGATAAAATTTAGCTTGCCTACATTTTGTAGAACTGATGGAAAAAAATAAAAACAGTGTTTAGCTTTTAAAGACAACCTCCATGAATTCGACTTAGAAGAAAAGAGGTCCCCACTTCCACAATTTGGCTAAAGAAGCCATTCATTTTTGAAGATGTGATCTTCGGCATCCACCTCTATCGGATGGCCTAGTGTCTAGAGTGCCCGCCTACGAAGCAGGAGAACATGGGTTCGACTCCATCTGGAGATATACTAGTCTTTCAAGACACAGCAAAATAACACAGTTGATGCAATAAAACATCTATCGAGTTGGCCAAATGATAACAATTTAATTACCTTCTAAATCTCAGAAATGTGTAATAATTCAGGTATCAATATTAATACGGCTTCATTCGGCATACTGGGTTATAACCTCCCCAGGGAGGCAGTAGCGTCAACACCCAGATGTGTAATAATTCAGGTATGAATATTAATAGCAAATCCAATATGTCATGCAGTTCTGAGTTCAGATTTAATCTGTGTAAAAGCATCACCTTTTACTGCCTGTATATTATAATTTATATTTAAGTATATACGCTATTTTTTTTACATATTTCATTACGCTAATTATATATTTGTTTAGTCATAAACTTTTGTGAAAATGTGCTAGAGCTTAAAAGGTTATCATTTTTATTATCATAAACGATACCTGCTGAGCTTGACACCCAGCACTTAGGGGTAGAAGCAGGGATAAAGTTCCTGGTCTGGCAGAAAAAGATGTTTTCGTTTGCTAGGTTTCAGCGCTTCATACGGCATGCTACATCAGTAGTGCGGTATATAAGAAATGAACTCTCCCTTTTTTATTTATTATGTTGTATTAATTATATGTATTGGCCTAGTTCAAACGCGTCATATTGCCAAACATATTAAGCTTTAACGCGTGTATCATGCTTAGGAGCTAGAAATGTGTGTTGGAGAGAGCTAAAGACTGTTTTTACAGTGTATGTGATATATGTGGGCCGGGACCAGAATAATATTAAGTGAAATCATTAGGCATGATGTGTTCGTTCTGTAGACGTAGATTTTGTGAGAAACACTATTGTCGTGACATGGTTGATATAACGTATATGTTATAAGTGACATGGCTGAAGAGAGATGCATATTAGTACAGAAACAACATTTGCTACACTTGGTAATTCAGATGCGGTGGGAGATAGCACTATTCTTAATGTGCATTAAAGACCACGTTGAGGTGGGAATAACACTTAATTATAAGTAAAACGAAAAGTGCAGAGATAAAACGGATTATCCCGAGGTAAAACGAAATGTGAAGGGATGATACGAAGGTAGAACTAGTGGGTAGACAGTCTCATTCTGATCGGGTTAAACTTTCCAACTCTTAAAAAGACTTATCTGGGTTTGAATACCTATCTTTAATGTCTGACCTAATTTCAACATCCTTAATAAACAGACCTTGACAATTTTTTTTTGATAAGCAGCCAAAGATATGTTGCTTGGTTTAACAAATCTCTGATTAATATAGACACATCTGTTTTTTCAATTTCAATTAGAAAAAAAGTTAATGTGAGATTTAATGCTAATTTCCATTTTTAAGGTTTTTCTTCTTTTAATGAAACAATTCCTTATATTTCCAGATATTATCGTAAATGACCACGAAACCGAAGGTGCAAGGGTCTCGCAAAAGAATCAGGATGGAGCATCCGCGGGTAATGGAGAGAAACACATTCCCAATCAGAATAAATCGTTGGTCTGGCAACCAATTGAAAAGCCTGACGATCAACTAGGATCTCAACTGATAGAAAACAGGGGGTATGGTCACTCGCAGGTGGTTGTGTCCACGACAACTATAGAGAACGGTCAAGATAATTTAGACTGGACCAATATCTTGGAAGAGGGCAACGTGGATACAACGAATCGGATAAATTCAGGCGAAATTCAAGGAGACAAGTTCCCAGGACAAAAAGACAATTCAAGGAGTCAGGCTGATTCAGTGCAAAGAAATGTGACTGAGACAAAGCCACTGGCTGTTGTCAGCGGTGCCCCTGGCGACGAAACGACTATAAATAGTAACATATTTGTTGAACGTTCAAAACGACGAGCAGAGGTATGTCGAAATCATCCGTCTCTCTCTGGTGACATTTTAAAATATATTCGCTCTTTCGATCCCCTGACTAGCTTAGTTATGGAAACCCAATATATTGTCTACAGCGATTTCAACGTATTATACTGCCAAGTCCCCAAGGCAGCATCAACAAATTTCAAGCGTCTATTCCTTCTAGCGGAAGGATCCAAAAAGTCTAAGAAAATCGGAAACGGAACATTAGATTTGATGAAACTTTCCCCAAGTGCAACTTGGGGGAAAACGCGAACGACGTCCATTAGACTGCAGAACGTGAACGAAAGCTTTGCCAGAAATGTGGTTCGCAATTTCACCAAAGTTCTTATAGTTCGCCACCCTCTGGAGCGTCTCATTTCTTACTACAGGATGGCGTTCGAGACCACAGCGTATGAAAACTTCAATAACAAAGGTGGCGCGAAGGCATTATTTGCACACGTGCAGTCCCAATATAAAAGACCCGTCCCCAAATTTGCAAAACAGTCAGAGACGCCCCATTTATCTTTCGAAGAGTTTGTTCAGTTTGTGATAGACAGCGACGCTTCCATCCGGAATCGGTCTTGGACTATGCATCACTTGATAGATGCCCATTGGATGCCTGTATCACGACAATGCCACCCGTGTGCTTTAGACTATGATTTTATCTGCAAAGTAGAAACCCTAGACACCGATCTTAAACTGCTTGCCAAACATTTAGGCATAGCCAAGGCCATAAAGTACCCCGAGCAACTAAAGAGGACTTCCCACGGCTTTCTAAATGAATATCTAACAAAGCTGCCACCAGCTCAAATGGAGAAACTGGTTAATGTGTTTAAGTTGGATTTTGAGTTATTTGGATATAAAACGGAGATAGAATGAAATAAAAAAAAATTTGCACACCACGCTTGTGGTGATAGTTAGTTTCCAGTATCCTCTGAAATTCAGAGGGCGGCGTCATAGACTTGGCGCCATTGCAATTAGATAGATAGATAGATACACACACTGGACAATAGAAGTGTCTTCCCCTGAATCAGAGTAATCAAAGTTATAATGCCTGGTCTACTTATAATGTGACTTATGAGTATAAAACTGCTGTACCATGGAATTGTATTGTTGGTCTTTTTGTGAAATTTGATGTTAATAAAATGATACCAGAAGCATATCATTACACAATTATTTTTCTCCCCCAAAGTGTTGGTTCAGTAGGGGTGACACTTCTATTGTCCAGTGTGTGTAGATAGAAAAATATATAAATAAAAACAAATAAGACGATACCTATCATCATTATCATCAGCCTGTAACATATTTCACTGTCGCATTGTCTGTCTTTAATTAAAAAAAAAAAGAAACTCGGCGACCGCTTAGATTTTTTTTCTCAGATTACAAACAGACATCAGCCAAAGTCACCCCCGAGCTCGCCTCTTGGGCATGAGGCTGCCATCTCTGGAAGGCGTTGCAACATATTACAAGAAACGATCGACAGAGGCATGTTAATAACACAGATCTGTTTTCAGTGACGGCTGAACAGAGCTGACAGCGTGAACAGAGCGCGCCTGACGTATTATTAGCATCATCTTTCCTGACGCGTTAAAGAGCCACCCCGTGTTGTTTTCCCGCCAAAATGATTTTTTAGAGGTAAAAAGCATTTTCTTCTCTTCACGAATAATTGCGCATGTTTGACCTGTCCTTGTATTTGGATTCGATGTTTTATTCCATTGTTTAATTTAATTTAATAATTTAGTTTAAATGACTGGCCAGTCATTATAATCGACATCTGCCGTCACGCGGAAAGAACCTCTAACAATTCGTTTCAAATCCCATGGAATGACCCTTTAAGAGAGTAAACACTACACTTGAGTGACATTTAATTCCACGCAAAAATTCCCCGCCCCAGTAAAAAAATGACATGAATTAGCCAGAGACATGTTTGTGAATATCAATAATAAGTCTTTGGCCCTTGTATAGAGGGTAGTCGGCCCCCCTTCATGCCTTCAACCGTCCCCTCCAAAATGTCGATTGAAGTACATACGTATGGTTCTGCGGGCTTTTCAGTGTCTTTTCACCCTTGTTGATAACCATTGGTAGTAACTAATACATTCTTGATAACATTGATAAGGGTCGTGAGAGGTAAATGCGTAAAAATTTAATTTTTGGAGAGAATCCCAAAGAGGCAAGGTCCTCTGTGATGGTCCGTTGATGAGTATAAACCACTTTAACTTTCACTAAATACGCACACATATATACAGTATACATTCACAGTGGCAGAAATGAGGGCGTTTGTGTATTTAGAATAATGGTAGGAGTCTACCCTCTACCAGGACCACAGATTGATTTTTACTGGATATTAACAGACAATGTCTCTGCCTGAATATGGTCAGCCTTCTAACTATGGAAAATATGGAAAATGTGCCTATAATATATGCCACCCTGGTAGAGGGTAGTAGGAGTCAGAGGTCACTAGAACCTGCCTTGTCTTCTGTCAGCATGCCTCTGCGTTCTTTACTGTGACCGACAGAGGCATGCCGCTGGTGGAGACACTCTGAGCTTCAGGGTGCTTTCTATACAGTAATTATATATAATTGTCATGCTTGAGTACTCTCTAAAATCAGCGTAAAACCGACCACTTGTTTTGCTCAAAGTTATCGATTGATCTTGATGCTCAGGGTGCATCTCCACGTAGGATCATCTCATGATCATGTACATTTGCAGGATCACTCCCGCATCGTCCAGATTACCCAGAAAAGTATTGATGTTGTGAAATCATAATGCTGATTAAGATGAGGGTCCTCACCTGTGGTTGTCGTTAGAAAGGCAGGGATCGGTTACCTTGTGTAAGGTTAACTCAAATACCACCAGCGGCAAAAGTGTGGGAAAAAGAGTGATGCAAATACGCATGTTTACTGTTGGATTCGGGATTTTGCTGGAGTGGATTGTTATAGTGGGTCAAAATCCCGTTCTCAAAGTAGTCACAAGCTTGGGGTAACAGGGGCTGTCAAGAGAGGCCCCACTGTTGATTAAAATCCAGTTCGAATCGCCGCAAAGTGCGGTGAATCGAATAGAATATGTCAATCCGAGTGAAGGTATTTATTTATTTATTTATTTATTTATTTATTTATTTTGTTTGTTTGTTTGTTTGTTTGTTTGTTTGGGAGGAATGGTGGAATTTAGAGTACATTACTCAACTCGCATCTGCCTCAGAATGTGTTTGTTCTCCCGATGGTTATCTATTTTTATTTATAATAATTATGGTTTTTTAGGAAATTAAAGGAGTGAGACTTTTAAAATCGGTCATATTGTATGGAAATCGGGTAGGTGGACCGTGTGCTATATAGTAATTTGGGGTAAACTCTCCTCTGTCTGCATAGTGTGTAGGCTTATTTGCATTATCACCACCCGCATCTTATTAGTAGCACTTAGTTTGAGCTTGAAAATAAGTCAAATGATGTGAAGGCCTTTTTCACTCGACGACAAATAAGTACTACTACCATCATACGAAACATTTTTTAACTTTCATCCATTAGCAAAGCGCTCTCCTATGGGTTAAGATACCATGAGAAGTGCATAAAAGCTTCATCGCAACATGGACGTCTTTTTTCTAAGTGTTCGCTCCTGCTTACTGCCTCCCCTATTTCTTGTGATCCTTGATCAACCTCTACATTTAATTTTTTCCTTTTCTATTATTGTGCCTTCCATTTGTTTAGAGAAAGTGAAAAAAGAAAGAAAAAACGACAGATGGTGCTAAAAGAAAGCTTGACATTTTATAAACATAAGTAATTTATTGGTCTGGTTTTTCATAATCATATCTCAGATATGCAGAACATTTGAAGAGTATTTCTTTACCTATTACCAGTACAGTTAAATGCGGCATGAAGTCCACAATTAATGGTCATATAAATAAATGCCAATATTATTTCATGCGGTTTCTTGCGTTCCCAGCTGCATTGGTTAAGACAATACTCATCGAATAAAGTATACTCGGAACTATTTGAGAAGAAAAACTCTCGAGCATAATTCACCTTAGGATATACCATCTCAATTTTTTCGCAAGGAATAAAAACTTAAATCCGTACAAAAGATTTAAAGGTTTATTTCAAATTAATTCATAATCCACATTTCAATAGATTACACTCTGCGTTCATTACTGTTACATTTTAAAAAACTTTCAGATAGACTACATCCGGGTGGGAAACCTATATTCAAATTTGTATCCATCAATGTTCCACTTTTTATCTATTCCTAAATCATGATCACTGATCTGCCTTTCAGCTATTTTCAAGAATTTTCTTTACAGCAGCTTTATATTCAGCCTGTCCATGCTATTCCATGATCGATATCAGGTCCACACCCAATCCATGACAGATCCGTTTCCGATCCGTTCACACCTCACCATGATCCTTTTCTGGCCCTGTTCTGCGAGCATCTCCTGTGGTATGATGGGTGAGTGTGTTTTGTGCGTGTGTTACACGCAGCAGACAAATTTCTCAAAGATTTTTCTATTGATCGGTATTTTCTAGATCTTCCAGTTCAAATGGGATTTGCTCAACTGAACGGACCCTAAAATATAAACATAAATAAATAAAACAAAAAAGGGCAATGAAGAATAAAGTCGGACAAAAAAAGTTTCAAAATAAAGCGACGAGGAAGATCAACGAAAACATGCTTTAGCACATTATTCTTTTTTTTTTTTTTAACAAAAATTTACCTTTCCGTGGCAAGTCTTTCTATCTCTTTCCAATCTGTGGGGGTTGGGCTCTCATTTCAACACAAAACAAGTTGACTGCATCCGTTAGTGATTTTACAGCCGCTTCTAAATCCGCGATCTCATGAGACTTGCTCCCCGCTTCTTCTGCAAGATTTTCTCTTAGGATCAACGAATCTGCTTGAGACCTTGGGCGGTTCTGAGATTCGAAATTGACGGCATGAACTCTGTTCTTTCTTCTGAACATGTTAGGCACTCTCATTCTTCCAATACAAGTGTTTCCCATTTTGATTTGCAATGAAATCTACGCGAGTATACGCAATTACGTCTGTTGGTTATGCATCACCAAGCTTTACGTCACCGGTTTATTACGTCAACTGGTCAAAGCTAATTTAAATACGCTGTTGACGTTACGTCAAATGTAGCGGAGAGGGGTGGTCAGTAATAAAATCCAGTAAACTACAAGCAACTAAAGGTAATTTTTTGGCATTTTATTTTTGTATGCAGTACTAAGTAAAAGCCTCACTCTTCCTGACAAATGAAGGTGTTTTATTTGTAGTTTTAATCGACAGTAGTCAAAATGACGGTAGGCCTAGGCGGTCTTACTACCCCCCCCCTTTCATAAGGGCAGGGAGAAGTGGCTAATGGGAATGTCTACCCCTACCCGAACTGCCCCTATTTAGCCTCCCCCGTGTAAAATTTGTTTCTAATGCGCCTGGTAGGCCTACATAATTTTTTGTTACTCAAAATACTAAGTCGTATCTGACTGTAATTCGAAGATGGATGAATAAAAGAAAAAGATATGTTAAAAAATATTTTACATATTTTGAAACGGCTAATTTATATTGAACATATTTTAATGCAAGGATTGTAAAAAAAATTCATAACAGAAAACATCGACTGAATTAGTATTGCATACATTTTTGTGTACTGCTATAGGCCTATTCATGTATAAATAGGCCTATATAAATGTTAATTGTTATATGTTACGTTACAAGCCACAGCGAGATCAAAAGCTTCTTTGAATTAAATTTATCTTGTAGCCATTACGTTACGTTCTGTTTATTTCCTTCGTTTAATTTATTTATTTGTTTGTTTATTGCAACGAGAGAAAAACTTTCAACATGGCTTGTCTTGGAAATTCTACCATCTATCGTTCTCAAGGGCACCATGACAACATTTGAAAATGGCTGCCACAGCCACTGAAAAATCAGAAAACCTGTTTGGAGTGGGATATGTATAATATAGGTATGTCTGCCAAAGTGATTAACACTTTTGGACTGTAGAAAAATGCCAGTTATCTAAATGTAATTGCTCATAAGTTCTGAGACTTACATTCTTACTGAAAAATCTTATTTGAATTAATTTGACTTGTTTTCCCTCTTGGCTTATCTTTTGAATCGAAATCGATGCAATGCCATCTGTTTTGGCTAAAACAGTTATGTCATGATTTAGTTTCTGCTTTTATTGCACTTACAGGAAAATGAATAAGACTAGACAATAATAAATTACCATGCCTGGAGGCTGGGGGAGGAAAGCAGCTGGTAGGATAGACAGGACACAGTTTGGTGATGACGAACTGTTGAAGAGTTTGGGAGGGGAATATAATGTCGACTTCACTGATTATGCACAGTGGCAAAGAACTGGACTTCAAGCTGTGCATGAACATGCTAAGAAAAGTGCAAGTGGGCTGGTTGCTCTGACGCCAGGTACATCTCTCTCTCTCTCTCAATAAAACCAACACCTAAAATCTCTATTAGTATTTGAACTTTGAAAAAAAAAATTAAGTCTGATGCCAAATCTTCTTGTTGCCAGTTGCCCTTGACCAGTTGACTAATGTTGTAGACTGATGACATGAATTTCATATAATTTCATCTGATTTTAGAGAGATCCCCTTTTACTGTTGGTGCTGGAGGTTCACCTTTTGCCAGTAAAAGGATCGGTTCTGCCTCCTCCACGTGTCGACATGGTGCCCACAAAAAAGAGGGACCTCCTGAGACAGAGGAAGACAAGAAGAGGACAGAAAGGATAAAGATTTTACAAGTAAAAAGCAAATGTGTTTGACAATTAAATAATTTTAACCGTATCTCTGTGTGTTTGTACATACATGTACCATTTTTTTTTTTGTTTTCAGATCATCAATGCAAAAGTTTTATTTGAAAATCAGAAAGTTTTTTTCTTTTCATTAACTACAAATGACAATGAATATAAAAAAAAACATTATACAAGAGTCATGCAAATGACTCTAAATGTTTCAGACTGATATTTTGATATTATCCCTTCTTTCAGTTACGAATAAGGTCAAGGCGGCAAACGTTAGAAGAGTACAAGAACAGATACTACAGGCTGTATCCTTTATAAACATCAAATAATTTAAGTCTTTGGAATTAAAATTTTGCAACTTAAAGCAGTGGGGACACATTGATGGTGTGAAACACTTCACAAAAAGGATTTTATATGGATTTTGGTGTTTTAATCCAGTGTCATCATTGGCTGCTAAGTGGTGTTTTGTTTTGGATTCACTGTTACAATTCAGAAAGTGTCAAAATAAATCATAACTCAAGTTAATGTAAAGATTTTTTTCCTTGGTTTTATCCTTTACTATCTGCTGCAGCATGGATGATAATGTGACCCTGCGTCAAGAAATTGATGGCGTTGAAGAAGAAGCACATGATGATGTTAAGAAACAGCTCCGTACATATGAAAAATTTAGGGTGAGGAACATATCACAAATTTAAATTTTTAAAAGTTCTTGCATCATTGCCAAAATCATGTAAGAATGTAGATTTTTTTGTGGGCAAAGAATTTAAATATGCATAAATATTATCTCTTAATTTAATTTTGTTCAAGTCATTTTTTTTGGTGGGAGCAGTAGTGGGGGTTTAAAACATCTTGTGAAACAACATTTCCTGATTAATTTCAGTTTATTGCATCAAAATCATACTCTGTTTTCTGTAAGGTATGAAAATGTTGTTGTTGTGATGATAGTCTGGTTATCAGGGTGATGTTTTTTGACATTCTGCTTACAGGGAGGGATGACAAAACTTCAATCCAGATTTGTAACCGATCTTGACCAGGCTAAGACGGAGTTGAGAGAAACTAAAATTAAAACTGAAACAGAACTGGCAGGTACAGCTCTGACTTTTTTCAAAAACCCAAGAATACACTGTAAAAAGTTGGGTCATTGTATAATAGGAAAGAACGAAAGGGTTATTAGGCACAGCAGTTACCAAATTTTGTAACCTAAAATAAAATAATGATAACAATTTCCTAGTTATAGAATTACAATTGTACACTGTCAAAGGATATTGTTTGTTAACTTTGCTGATATAGATTAGAATGAAAATATTAAATATACACAATATTGATGACAATGAGTTAGGAATTACAGGTTATATAAAGTTCTTGAACTATTGTTCAAAAAACGAAACCTAGCTCAAGTGATTTTGTGAAATCTCGACATTTTCAGCTCTTCAGAAACTTGTGGATGCAGTCGATGTGCAACTGAAGGCAAAACAAGATGAGCTACATGTACTCCTCAACTACAAGGTAAGTACTGACACTGGAGTCTTATCCTACAAACAGTTGTATTATAATGATATTACATTCACTCACACAACATGTGTAAAGAGAGTAGGGTAATGGCAAAAATTCTGTGCTTGAAGTTGGACATCAGTTAACTGAGGCCTTTGCCCATGACTTTATTAAATTATTTAATATTTTAAAATAAATTTGGCTTCATGAGTGGACAGGATCTATTACCTCCTGCTTCCTGCACTAAGGGCTAATATGGGCTAAGGGGGCTTACCCCCCTCCCCCCGCCACCCCATGCACTTAGCCCTCTCAGATCCTATCCCTATGCACACACACACAAAGGCAAAAAAAAAAAAAAAAAATAGAGAGAAGATATGTGCGTATTGTCAGGTAATTAACTTTAAATATAATTTTACCAATTTAGGATAAAGAGTATCCTGTTAAAGCCATCAGAATAGCAGATTTGGAGAATGAAATTGAGAATGTCCAGATCAGCAATGAAGAGGATCAGCTAGAACTAGAACATATCATTGACACAGAGATTGGGAAGTTGAAAAAGAACCAAAACAGTGTGCAGAAAGAAATAACTGAACATGTCACCAAGGTAGAGTATGGGGTATTACTGATTGAATGACCAGGTTTTAAGACTGAAAAAAAAAAGCTAAAATGAATAAATTTAAAAAAATGAACACAAAAAGTGCTAGGCGTTTTCAGTTATACAACAAATGCAACAGTCTTCAATTCAAAGGTGATGGTTTTTCCTGCTTGATAACACCTGATGTAGTTTAAGTGACAGCTTTGGTAATTGGATTGTTATGTTTGATATCCTATCAGTTCTGATATATGTGTACTGTGAGATTGTTCAATTTCTGACCTGTAACATTCTTTCAATAATAATCATGATGATAACAATAAATAAAGCTCTAATATGGTTTTTAGTCATGGGCATCAGTTTCAATACTTTAAGATAATAATACGTACTTATAATGATTATTATTTTTGGTAGGAAGCCATAGCTAAGATGCACCCCAGTCTAAAAGATATGGCACTTCAAAATATGGTGATGAAAAAGGTAAGTTCAAAAAAAGGGTCCTCATCCAAGATTTTTGGACGAATATTATTAAACAGGCACATTTGGAAAACATGATTTTACCATTTGAAATGAAAAAAAACAAAACAAAACTTTCAGCTTCACTGGTTTTTCTTTGAACACATGATTTATTTAAGTGCAGAAGAAATTTTGCTTTAAAATTTGCTGGTATTTGTATTCTGAAGAGTTTCAAAAGATAAATTAAAAGAGAAATAGCATCAGCATTTGAAATAAAACTGCTATACAACATATCTGAATTTTATCAGAATACAGTCTTCTTTCCAGTGTTATAAACAAAAATATTTAATAGCATCATAATGTTTTAGAATCAGGGTAGTCAAAATGTCCCCAACTTAAATAAGCACTGTAGACGAAATGACCCCAACTTTAAATATTGACTATTAATAATTTATCACTTTGATAACAAATTCTGCAGTATGTACAAAGTTTCTTCAAATTATTGTGAGATGTGTCTTAGAAGTTCATAATTGCTTTTTAATATATTTTCTTTATAGGAAATGGAATTTCACCAGAAAGAGATAGATGCACAGGAACAACAGAACAAAGAACTGGAAGACAGTATAAAACAACTGCTACAGGATCCACAAACAAACATAAAACTACAGTTGTTCCCAGAATTCTTTCCCATGAGGGAGAAGTAAGTGTATAATCATGGTTTCATTTGTCTGGCATGCAAAAGTTGGTACCCTTCTCTCTAAGGCCACACCCAACAGTAAAGCTGATTGAACTCCAAGGACTAAGTTTGACTGGAATGAAATAACTGGGCCCTGATATGGGGTCTTGTTGCAAGGGGAACAGAAGGTGATTTCTTGGTACTTGGGTAAGGAAATGTGATAATGACTAAGTATGTACTAGTGACTGAACCCACTGTGTCCAGGCATGTCATCCCCAAGTTTCCGAGGTCACTGTGAAATTAAGCTATATTCTCAAAAGCATGTGTGTGCATTTGTTATTCCAGGATACTTTTAAGGATACTCAATCAGGTATGGGTGTCAATAGGGATTTTCACATTGAACGTAAAATTGATACAAATTTGAGAAATGTATGCAAGTGAAATTCCCAGAAAAATCTCCCAAGTTTCTCAGCCATGCTGCAAAACGGATTAAATTCTTTAATTTTTTTTTCCAGATGTACACCGGACATGGAGGTCGTTTTGGACATACCTACCCAAGAGTGGCTTCCTATATGAAATATAAAATGAGGTTATGTTAAATATTTTGGAAAGATCTGGCTTGTCATTACCTGCACATGGATAGCGAAAGACAAAAACAGTGAACACCTTTCTAGATGACACACAGCTTTAACACAAATGGCAGGAAAAAACACTCGAGACAGATCAAGCTGTTTGCGTTGACAAAGCATTTTCAACAGGCCAACCAATAGTGGCTTGGTCAAGCTGACAGGAAGCCATGGAATGAAAATGTAGATTTGCCAAACCTCTTCTTGAATGCACACAGATCAAGTTAATTCACAAAAACTAACTAGATGAAGGATGGAGGTTGGCAGTGGAAAAGGTTTCTGTACAGCCCTCCATGATCTAAGAAGTGCACATCAACACAACTGAAAATGAACACCACAGAGAAGGGGGGGGGGGGGATAAGATGAGGCTTTGATTCAGAAACTGTTTGCATTACAGTACATTGTACTAAGGCTGTGCCTTAAAGAAATTTTTAAAGAAATAAATGTATACCCTTTATTTTTCATTTTTATTGACCATTACTTTACTTTTGGAGCACAGGTTTTTAGGTATTCATCTCTTCTTTTCAAGTTTATTTAAGGTCATGCCCAGTGTTTGAAAATTTATATATTACATATTCACTTTGAAGGCGCTTTAAAAATCTGTATAAAAATTCAGTTGGTTTTTAAATGGTTCAGAAAAAGTTCAGATCTGACTAAAAACAAACATAAATGTCTGCCATGTATTAAAAAAAAAACCAAACAATTATGTGAGAAATGGGTTTAATAAGTTTTGTAATCCTTCTTCAAACCATGACAATATCACAAACATCAAATGAAAGCCAACTATAGTTACACACAACAAGTATGTTATCTACACTGTGGTCCAGATAATCAAAAAACCTAGTTTATCAAGAGTTTTCTACACAATATCACAACTGTGACAGATTTGTTAAGAAAATCTTTACAGTTTGATTTTTTGTCATAGTTTTTCAATTATTTAGTGCTCTATCTTCAGATCAGCAATGGATATAAATTTTGGTCTACAGAATATAAGTTAAAAACAAAATTATTCTTTTAAATAAGATGAGGAAAAATACTGGATTATACATAAGAAAACTGCAATTAAAACAAGTATGGTGTCTACACAGTCTCTAGGAAAGTCTCATAATCTGAAGAGGTCAAATTTACTATGCTGTCTTGTCTTATGATTGAATTGGGAGTTGTAAATGGATAAATTAAGACAAATCATTTTCTCCACTCTCCCTTGTCATAATCCCAATAGGGATCTCCAGGCGTGTAGGAAGTATTTTGGGCAATCAGTTTACCCAAATGGACACCTTGCCAGTCTGCTTGCCTTGTTCTAGCTGCACGCGGGTCCCATGGGAAGACTGAAATAAACAATATAATATGTAACATATATATATATATATATATATATATATATATATATATAACGTAATACATAACATACACCTTGGTCATTTATCATGTCTGACTCAACAGATAGCAAGGAAAAGTGTATGTGAATTTACTGCATTGCACACGTGTTATATGTAACCTAAGCCAATCTTCAGCTACCAATATCAATACAGTACTATCCTACTTGTAATCCACTAAATGTTTTTGTGAAGGTTTAATATGATAATTTCATAATCACTGCAAACTTTGGTGAAACAAGCCAGCTAAAACTGCAATGGACAGAGAAGCCTGAACACTGTTAACATGGAGTGATGACAAAATAATACAGCAACATGCAAATCTGAAACTCATGTTGTGTTTTAGCAAATGTTACAAGTTTGAGAATAATTAACACAATTTTAATTATGTACTACTGTTACTGTGGACGATTACAAAATGTAACTGACACAGGGCACCAAATAAAACTCTAGGATCTGCAAGTCATCTGACCCACTTGTTTAATATCCAAGGTACAACAAGAGACAACTAACAAGAACGAGCGACAACTTCGTGAAACCACACTCATACCAAATGAGAGGCCCTAGAGTGATCGCTAACTAACAAGAGCTTCGTGAAACAGGCCCCAGGACATTTACAGGGACGCCAATGACAGAAATGTGTTGGCTATTAGTCCAGTCACATAGTGTCTGTCCATAAAAATACTATAATTATAAACTTACTATAATCAATAGTGATCTGGGTGTAGATCATAGTGCAACTTAGACCAAACAATGTTCCAATTAGGAGTCTTTTTCCCAATCCTTCTGGTGTGTACTCCTCCTTTAATGTTTGGCGATAACTGTAGCGATACACTGGAAATACAAAAGACACTGGTTTATATTGTATACAAAACAAGGCCATAATTCATAGCAATAAACTGAGACAATATTCTTTAAAATTGGATCGTTTCTATGTGCCTGCGACTCCTAAAGTTGAACTCACAGATGCTCAGCTAGAGTTGGACAGGTTCATCATACATACTGGGAATCTCCAAGAATGTTAATTAATGTCAAGCCCTGACTTAATGAGTGCATGCATCATGCTAAACCAGACTCACAAGTTTTCTTCTCATCAATGGAGAGGTTTTTCCAGTCCCCTTTTTCCTTTTCTAAGAGTGGCATGATTTCTGGGTATGGTTCCATGAATCTCACAGCAGGGAATGGGAATTCCTCAGCTTCTATGTACTCTGCAAAACCTGAGACCCCTGGGCCAACAATGTCACGGTTACCTATGAAGTAAACATGAACACAAAACAGATGTACTTTTTATATCTGCACGTAACAACAATGGGACATGGGCATAAAAATTTCAACAAGGCATAAACATGGGGTAAAAATAAAATGAAAAAAAATATTTTAAATAATAATAAATTTCAAGAGGGAAGGGGGGGGGGAGTGAATATAATTGATAACTTCTCCTGCTGACACTCTTGCACAAATATAACAACTGCCTTCTCATCTAGGTCCTATTGCGAACAATCTCTTGCTAAAGATATGAAAATTGCCTTCTTGTCTATCAGCATTGTCAGTTGCCGTACCTTTGAAGGTCCGGAAGGTGTCCCCTTTAATAATTTGGTGGTAAGTTTGCTCAGACTTTGTTTAGTGTTTTTCAAAAAATTTGTAAGCCATCCAGCCGTATTTGGAAAAATAGGCCGTCTGGTGATGCCAGCTGCTGTCCAAATGGACAATTTGCTGGGAAAAGCCCTGATATATATAAAACTTAAATAACTTTCACAAAAATTATCTGATCGTGTCAGGGTCTGTATATAAAAAGACAAAACATATAAAGAATAAAAGTTTGCTCTGAAACAATTTTACTTCTTATAAAAAGCCTTAATATAGTTCTTGCTAATAAACTGTACAGAATGCCCATAAAATTGTTTGCTCCTTAATTTAAATATTGTCTATGCAGAACACTATCCCACCTATGACTGTATAAAGCTTTTCCCTGAGGTGAGCATTCCTTCCTTTTTTGGCTGGTGCTGGTGGATTATTTTCCAAAAGCCACTTCGAATTTTCTTCTTCAGTGACAGGAACTTGAATACCAACAACAGGAACTTCATCACCTGTGGTGGTGACTCCACTCAACCGTGGCACTGAGGTGACCAGGGTGCGCCTTCCCAGTATCACAGGTACCCTCAGCAAGCCACTAGCCATAATGACTCCTGAAAATATATTATTAAATGAAACAGCAATTATATATCTGGGTATATATAAATTTATTATCAAGTAACTATTTAAACATTTATCAACCCAAAGTAAGCAGTATGCTTCTCACAGGGACATCACTACATCCAACTACTGCACAGGAGATGACTTTTGAATCTTTTTGTATTTACTGAAAACATCAATCTAGAAAAAATATTGGTCCCACGTCAAAACTCCATCTGTACTGTCTATTTTTTGTTTACAATAGTCAAATTATCTCAAAGTTTCAATTAACAATACCACATCCCAGTATTATTTATCCTTTACAATTTGGCACTTGATTAGGTACATCAGAAAAAAATAAGAACGTGCCAGATATAAACACAAGTTATATATCCTGAAAGGTCGTTTTATCTAGAATGTCTTTTGGAATTTTGATATTATCTTTAAAATTAAAGGAAATATCACAGTTTTTAAATAGCAATGTTAGGGCAAATGTGTCCTCCCACTTTAGACAGAAAGCTGTGGCCACTGAGCGCTTTTGTTCCACCTTTAAAACATACTTCACCTCGATCAATTTTCATGGAGTTTTTTGCATCAGATCACAAAGGTTCTATACTTTCACAAAGTATAAAATAAGAGATTTCTGTATATGTTGTTAAACGAGGTGCTTCACGAAGAAATTTGACTGACGTTGGAAACAAAATTCAACTTATCACCATATGCATGAAGTCAATGACTAAACCCAAAAAATGATAAAATAACAGCCTGTCAGGGTAAAAAAGTCGAACCCAACTGCACAAAATAAGATTTTTATCTTTTAAAATCTCAATTTGGTCGCAAATTGTGCCGCATTTCTTTATATAGAAACCGCTGAACTTCTAGGGAGAACGTGACAAATTTGGTCAATTTGAGGTCAGGATTTCCTCGAGGAGGACAGGATTGACTGTGAGTAATATATGCATCTAACCAGTCAAAGTTTACATTAAATTTCTGAAATATAAATGAACTGGCAATCTGACAGTATAAAATTCCACTTTTTTCGAAGAAAATGATTAATTAAGAAGAAAACTCTCTGGTGGCTTACCTTCTTTACAAGATGGCGTGCGTCAGTCTCGTCAAGTCGCGTTCAATGGACGAGATTAAACATGGCACCGCTAACGAGAGTACAACACGGTAAGATTGAATGGTAAGGTTATTTATATTTATTTTTATACCCCAAAATGACTGTTATCTATATCTAGTAGAACCTCTTAAGTAAATTGTTTTTAAAGGCAATTTGGTTAAAATTATTTATCTCAAAAAAAAAAAAAAAAAAAAAATTAAACAGCTTTTTACGCGTTTGAACAGCATCATTCATGATGACGATAAATTCGTTGTTCTGGCATCTTTTTTCGCCAGCGTGTGAGTCAGCTTAGTATTAACTTCACATGGTTAAATGAATACGTTTGGTTCCCATAAACGGTTAAGATTAAGGTAGGTGGCTTTTATGTACATATTTATTGAGATCCGAGTAGTTGGTGCCCAAGACCAATTTATGCTAATAGTAAGTTTTGTTAACGTCAAAATTGTACTTCGTCACATTGGCTTGCTCATTTGAGTTAGTACATTATATGTGCACTATCAAAACATGTACGTCTTAGATAAGTATTCAACTGATAAATCTGTCACATAAAATCAAACTATGTTCAAAATCACCGAAAATAAAGAGCACCAAAATTAATAGATGAGATGACTTAACTCTCTTTCCCATCTTGTAAATCAATCCAACTCTCGGCTGAATGCAATCAGTTTAACAGATTAACACGCCTCCTCCTCCTTCTCCTCCAGGCGTTGGGTAAAATACAGAAAAGGTGGTTATAATAATTTATTATATGAGCTTGTTACTTGCAATCTGTTACTAATAAACTTGTTAATAAACTATGTAAACTAGTTAACTATGTTAATGTTACTTATGTTTTGTGCAATAAAACTTTGCTGAACAAACTCCAAATTAACTGCTTTTCACAATACTTGTGAATCACCATGATTGTTCTTCATTCTTTTTTGTCAACAGAATATTTTCCATTTCAATCTCTTTCTTAAGAAATGAATATGAATTTTCATTTTTATTCTTATAAATATACAGACACTGTAAGACTGTGTCTGTATATATTCTGATTGATCTGCCTATCCATGTCGTTGCGATCCCTGTTGTTGTCACTGTTACTGTCCAACACGTGATGCTCCCCCCATAACTGCCAAACTTTATTTTTGTTTTACTTTAAATTTACAGAGTGGCTTTAGTAAAAAGGCTGGTTGCATTCAGAAATTGGCATGATTGGTTTATATTTACAGTATTTATTCTGTTTTTTGCACAATTTTGGTGACTTTTGCCCCATAACTACCATACTGTATTTTTGTTTAAATTTACCAAGTGGCTTTGTTTGGTAAACAGGCAGGTTGCTTTTGAAAATTAACATGATTAGTTTACATTTATGGTAATTGTTATTTTTATTATTATTATTATTACTTTTTTTTGTTACATTGGCCCCATAACTTCCAAACCATATTATTGTTTTACTTTAAATTTACTGAGTGGCTTTTTCAGTAAAGGGGAAGGTAATTATCCTGGTATCTGTTTAGGGTCTGTATGTTTGTCAGCTCTGCTGTCTAGTTTATTCTTTGGAACATTGTAGATTGATATTCAAGTTCTTTTCACCCTCTCTTTGATTTTTTTCCTTTTTTAAAGTCTTTGCCTCCCTTTTTCATTTACTGNACTTCGTCACATTGGCTTGCTCATTTGAGTTAGTACATTATATGTGCACTATCAAAACATGTACGTCTTAGATAAGTATTCAACTGATAAATCTGTCACATAAAATCAAACTATGTTCAAAATCACCGAAAATAAAGAGCACCAAAATTAATCGATGAGATGACTTAACTCTCTTTCCCATCTTGTAAATCAATCCAACTCTCGGCTGAATGCAATCAGTTTAACAGATTAACACGCCTCCTCCTCCTTCTCCTCCAGGCGTTGGGTAAAATACAGAAAAGGTGGTTATAATAATTTATTATATGAGCTTGTTACTTGCAATCTGTTACTAATAAACTTGTTAATAAACTATGTAAACTAGTTAACTATGTTAATGTTACTTATGTTTTGTGCAATAAAACTTTGCTGAACAAACTCCAAATTAACTGCTTTTCACAATACTTGTGAATCACCATGATTGTTCTTCATTCTTTTTTGTCAACAGAATATTTTCCATTTCAATCTCTTTCTTAAGAAATGAATATGAATTTTCATTTTTATTCTTATAAATATACAGACACTGTAAGGCTGTGTCTGTATATATTCTGATTGATCTGCCTATCCATGTCGTTGCGATCCCTGTTGTTGTCACTGTTACTGTCCAACACGTGATGCTCCCCCCATAACTGCCAAACTTTATTTTTGTTTTACTTTAAATTTACAGAGTGGCTTTAGTAAAAAGGCTGGTTGCATTCAGAAATTGGCATGATTGGTTTATATTTACAGTATTTATTCTGTTTTTTGCACAATTTTGGTGACTTTTGCCCCATAACTACCATACTGTATTTTTGTTTAAATTTACCAAGTGGCTTTGTTTGGTAAACAGGCAGGTTGCTTTTGAAAATTAGCATGATTAGTTTACATTTATGGTAATTGTTATTTTTATTATTATTATTATTACTTTTTTTTGTTACATTGGCCCCATAACTTCCAAACCATATTATTGTTTTACTTTAAATTTACTGAGTGGCTTTTTCAGTAAAGGGGAAGGTAATTATCCTGGTATCTGTTTAGGGTCTGTATGTTTGTCAGCTCTGCTGTCTAGTTTATTCTTTGGAACATTGTAGATTGATATTCAAGTTCTTTTCACCCTCTCTTTGATTTTTTTCCTTTTTTAAAGTCTTTGCCTCCCTTTTTCATTTACTGCAATAGTGGCATATGTCATTTATGTTTATGTGATTGTTTGGTCATACTTTGCCATAACCAGTAAATATTTTTTTTTATCATTATGCATTTGAAGAATGCAGAAATTGAACTCTAAAAACAAAAAATCACGTTCAGCCTGGCAGTACGTATATTGAAGCATTTGGTGGAGTAGAATTTTTTAAGTTGTAACCAGTTGGCAGATACATAATATTGCACTCTGAATAGTGTATTTTATGTATACCCCTATTTGACAATGTATGATAAACTCTCAATTGCTTTTGCATTTCAGATCGCATGAAGGAAAATCGTAAGAAATCACCTAGTGAGACAGACATTGAATTTAAGTGAGAACAATACTAGACAGGCCCTGGCTGCCATCATTTGTAGCTCATTGTGTCCATTGAGGCTCCTGGAGCATCAAAGATTGCATATGGTGAGACACCAGAAGGAATATAGATTGCATATGTTGAGACATCAGGCTTAATACAAATTGTGTTAGTTGAGACATAAGGCTAAATACAGATTGTGTTAGTTGAAAAACCAGGAGCAGTTCAGATTGTTTGGTGAGACACCATATATTATTTTATTTGGATTAGGTGAAACACTGAAAGCAATACAGATTGCGTTAGATGAGACCCCAGAGGCCAGGTTAACTGCATTGGATGTGGTACTAAACCGATTTTACATTGTGTTGGGTGAGACAGCCTCTTAGCTGTTAGATAACGACCTGAAAAATGACTGCAGGACACTTTAGGAGCAGTGCTTGGGATCCATTTCTAATAATTGCTCAGATTATTTCCATGCAGAGTGCTTTCTATGTGGGTCTAGGAGTCTGGATTGCTATGGTGGACTTTGTTGCAGGAGCAGATAGGTCACTGGAACAGTTTTTTAAATATGAGGTAATGTGAAGTCTTGAAATTGTGCCAAGTGTGATTAATGTGATACAATAATCATTCTTTTTCTCTTGTTCATTACATCTTAACACTAATTGAAACTCTTAGAATTGTGCTAAAAAGTTGCTACAACTTAGAGCTTTTAGCCATATCCCATTTTCTTGTTCATTTTTGGCAGAGAGTTTCATTAATTTGCTTCATACTGATTTTCATCATGGAATAAGAAAGGGTACGTTAGCTTAAAAGAGTTCACCTAGCAAATGGATATATATATTAAAACTGTTTTTCTTTTGTATACAGTAATTGTTTTTCTTTTTTATTTCAGGAACTTCAGTTTAAAGAATTCACAGGAAGATTAATCATGGGTGCTTTTGTTTTAAATTCTTTAACATGGTAAGCATTCACCAAATACCATTTTAATAAGTGCAGTTGAAGTGAATTTTTCATGCACACACAAATGTGCACATGCATGCAAGCAGGCACTGCTTACAGTCATTAACATGGCTTTGGTAACCAAAAACTTTATTTACATAAATTAGATTAATATATTAATTTTTTATACTAAGCTCTACATGTATGGGACATGCTAATGTTGAGTTGATGTTGATCAGATCAGCCCACAAAGATGTGTACTACTATATTGTATATTTTGGTGGGATTTTACTACTGTAACACGGCCAAAAGGCCAAGACTGCATTGTCTGTCTGTTGGGCCAGATTTCTTCAGTTAACATGATGTGATTCAAGATATGTATATAAAGCTATATTCACTGTACACTGTGCAAATATATCTATATTCGCTGTATGCTGTATGTTACTGTTACCTATTTTCACTGTACATTACAGTGCATTGGGCTTGTGGTACACAGTCAAGAGGACAAAGCTTTGTTTAGACTTTGCCAGTACCGTCCATCTTATCCACTTGGTGGTGTGCTGGGGATACAATGCAAGGTTTCCTTACACAGTCTCCTGGTGGCTAGTGAACATCATCTGTATAGTACTCATGACTGTTCTGGGAGAGTTCTTATGTATGAGAAGTGAACTAAAAGCAATACCATTGGGAATGGGACCCAAGGCAGATTTATAGCTCTGGACATGGGTAACTTATGGCTTAAATTTTTGGATTTATTTTTGACATAGAAGAAATGTCGTTGGGTTGCTAGCCAGGAGAAAGAAGTACTGGAAAGATGGGAGGATTTTAAATTGGAGCCAAGGCTTTGCTTGTCACATGGGGGAAAAGTTTTGGTTGCTGTGGACATGGAGACCATACCGTTGAAAATAAGTTTGATGGTTGTGGACATGGACACAATATCATTCAATCATTGGAAAAAAGTTTGGTGTCTCCCTGAATATGTATGTGTATCTGAACCCTCTACAGGGGTAATAGAAATATGGCACTGTTTTTAAGAGGGCCTGCATCAATGGATACACGCATGACAGGACATTTCCATGACTGTGTCACTGGAATGTCATCTAAAACATGGTGAAGATTAAGTCAGTTGGATTTTCTTGCAATGGTTAGAATTTGCTGGAAATATACTTCGATATACTAGTTTATTGTAATGTTGGTTATTTGTTTTCTTCATTTGAAGTGGACTACTGATAAGGTGGATAGGAGTAAGACCCACAAGCTAGTGAAAATGGGGACCTTAAGTTGATGTTTATGACACTTATTTTGATCAACCACACTTTATAAAAATTTACTGAATGAAGTAATTTATTATTTATATATTATATTTTCTCTTTTGCCAAACTGAAGAAAAGAGGTGGTGACAACTCAGAATGAAGTTGGTGTCATAAATTATATTCTCCTTTTCTCTGTCCACATTGAAAAAAAGTTTTGCAGCAGATTTGTATTCTGTGAACAATGCACTCAGAAAATGTCATAGTGCTTAATGGGTCATTTCACTGTATTTTTCACCTGTTGATCATTTTACCCACTTTTGTACCTTAACGTATAGGTAAAAAAAAAAAAAAGATGGGGAGATTTAAGATGAAAAGTTTTGTAAGGGGAAAATAGACCCTTGAAGGAAAAGAAGTGCAATGTATATGAGGTTTACAGTTTGAGTGTTGAACACTGGTCACAAGTAAAGGACAGTGTTGATCAAGGGTCAATGGTACAAGGTGGCCAAGCCTTTTTTTTTATTAGTTTGGCAAATTGTTTCATAAAGCTGTTCAAATTATAATTATATTGAAATTCACATTCCTTTTCTTATCTTTAAAAAACCTTTAAAGGTGTAGAAGTTGGCGATTCCTTGTAAAATTAGTTTGATATTGACTGCATTTTTTTTTCTAATTCGAAGAAAATTGAATTTTCTTCCAGGACCCCATTGATTTTTTTCTTCTGTGCCTTTTTTTTCTTTTTTCTTTTTTTTTTTTTTTTGCAACTGTTGGTGTTAATCTAATAATTTATCCAAAATATAAGAGTGCATTACTGTTTAGATTGTATGGTACCACTTAGACCCCATTCCCATAGATTTTGGATCGATCTATCCCTGTGTGGAGTCTCACTAGATTACTGTCAGCTTAGCCGACTTAAGCGTCTCTCCCACCTACTAAAAGCTGTAAGGGGGTAATTAACTGTGGTACGCGCTCGGCTGACTGCAATTTAGCGTGAACCCCCAGGGAGTTAGGTCGATCTAAATCTGTGGGAATGCACCCTTACTTTTGGTGTCTTAGGTATCAATTGATGGCAGAATGATCAAAATCTGGGTAAAATCTTCAAAATAAGTTTTTAAAAGTTTTAAAAAAAGTTTTTTTAAAAGTTGTAAGCTTTTTGATTGTCAACATGTAGGAAAAAGGAGTTTTATATCCTGGTAAAGCAAAAAAAAAAAAAAAAAAGTGCATCTTTCCTTTACCAGCAATTTGTAGCCTATCCAAAATTAATGAGAAAATCATGATACAAGCTTACAAAGTCCATATTTCTGTCATTCTAGTGTAACATTGCAGTTAACTTTTACATTCTAAGAAAGGCTTATTTTCTGCTATTTTAGGGGAAAATCTCATTTTAAAAATGTCTAAAAATGAGAAGCTTTGCACTAGTCTATGTAACAAATTCATTGTGTTAGGTGAGGTCCCAACTACCACACTGCACACTCAAGATTGTGTCATTTGTGACTGTGGCAGCATGGATTGTTACAAAACCAGACACTTGCTGTCAATTTATGGTGCTGCGTTGTATTACAATGTTCACTCATAGGGAATTTTTAATATAAGAAAATAAATATGATTTGAGTAATAACTTTTTTTCATTTTTGTTTTAATGTAGAATGCAAGGTCTGGAAAGCTGAGGTAAAATTTACAGCTGCTCTAAATTTGGACAGTTAAAAACTGCAAAAAATTCATTGCTGGAAAATTTTAACATAATAGATTTTTCTCTGATACAGGTAGTTGGAATGGACTACCAATTACACACGTATCTCTTCATTGCTCCAATAACATGGGTGTTGGTATGTTTTCACCATTACCAAAGATGCACTTGCAGTCCAGTTTGGACTGTTCAACAATAGTGATGAACATCACACAGTAGAACGAGATCCAAGACCCCTTACTGTACTGAAGAGCCAATTAAAACATTTTACTTTAATAATAAGGTATAACTAACAGGGTTGAAAACATCCCAGCCAAATTTTTGAAGTGTACGAATTTTGCAAAGTTATGCCTTCCTCCAATTCAAACCTTAATAAGCCTCTTACTAATATGTACCACTACTAAATGCCCGGGCCTTCTTCTAAAATGCAAGAACGAAAAAATAGGATTCACTAAAACAAAGTTATACAATAAGATAGGGTATAAAACTAGAATATGAGTGCAAGCACAGGTCAAGCAATGGTTTTCAAGTGGAAGAAAAATCCCATATAGAATACTTCAAGTGACCTGCTTGGAAAAATTGAACAAGCAATTTTATATTTACATTAAACCTTTATTTACATTTTTTGTACAGAACAACATTTTTTCATTTCAGTATTTTTTTACATTTTTTTGTATCTCCATTTTTTCTTTTGCTTTATTCTTTTACAAAGTATATATTTTGTTTTTTTTTTTCTTTCCTATCACTACCTTTTTTATTTAGTTCATTTTCTTTCTTTTCATCAGTTTTTTTTTTCTCTAGACATTATTCTTATGGTTCAAATTTCCCCTTAGAGAACTTATATTACCCATTCTGTCTCTTGGTGGCCAACTTCCAACAGGCTGAGAAGAGATCTGAAACAGAACTTTGGTTATGGTACAAAAAGAAAAAAAAACTTAACTAGCATTCTAATTTTCACACACACACTACACTGAAAACAAAATGACACCAAGTCTGGGTCTTTTTAAAAAGATCAGGGGTTTGCCAGGGTAATTAGTGCAGTTATAAATTGCAAAGTTAACTAAAACCCTATTGAACATGTCTGGATATGTTAATATGCGGAAGTTAAAAAAAAATAAAGAAAAAGCAATGTGAGAAAACCCAGGCAAGTCCACATTTTCTTTTATAGGCACCGATCATTTTTGCAACATGCCCAACAAAGCGTGTTTAAAAAGTGCAGTCTACCTCTCTCCCTCTTCCCTCTCACAAAAAAAAAAAAAAAAAACTTATTACAACTGGAAGCGGAATAAACAAAAATGTTATAAAGCATAGAACACATCATTTGACCCAAAATACCCACCCCCCCCCCCCCTCCCCCAACAATGCCCATATTCCATGCCTTCATAAAATGACTACTGGTGTAATACTATTGACTCGCACCTTCCAAATAATCCTATCTGACACTGTAGACCTTATGAAGTAACATGGTTTTAAAACAAACGCGCACTAAAAATATAATTGTCTGGATTGTACTCTAACTTTCCCAGTATTGGGCATTCAATTCACCAAATTTGCTTAAATTCAATAAGTAATTGCCATTATTAAAGTGTTAAAAGTAAAACAGTAGAGAAAAATAAAAGAAGGAATCAAAGCAGCTCACACCACCAGCCAAATGCAGTTAAAATTTTCTACAGCAACATTAAATTCCACCAGCATAAGTAATCATACAAGTTATTCACTAATTAGTCTTATACTTTGATACTTGAAATTTAACATCTTAATGAATAATACGAGGACTGAAATATATTAGCTATCTGGGGAATCCCGAATTAACAATATTTAAATAGAAGCTTTTGAACATGTCACATGGTTCAAAATGTCACACTCATTCACAACTTTTCATTTAAGACCCAAATTAAAAAAAAATTATAAAAAGAAGCAGAAAATGCACATAAAATGAAACTCTCACAGCTCAGTCATTTTAACTCACATTCCAGCCCAATTTTTACACTTAATCTGCGATAACATAAAAATATGACGACAAACCATGGCTATAATTTAAGGGCCACAACCCATCCTTTCTCGCATTCCAAGGAGAATTTTTGCTTAACTAATAGCTTCATAGCAAGATGACTTTTTTTTTTAATATTGCAGCATCAGTAAGGTATAAAAAATTACTTTGTTAACAGAAATATTTTCACATCCATTATCATAAAAAAGTTTTTAGCACTGGGGCATAAAAGTAAGTTCTGTTTGCCTCTGTACTGGGATGAAAGGTTATTTAATTTACAAAATAATACCGAGATTTAATATATATACTAAACCAGTCGCCTAAGAAAATGTATTTTGGTTTTAAAGACTTGCAAGTAATACATTAAAGCTAAAAAAATAAAGAATATGATACAAGTTATTTTGTATATCAAATCCATCTACAAAAACAGAAAAATAGAAACTTCCAAGTAAGGTTTCGGCTATTTCTGTTTGATCTGTAATCTTTTTGTCATCTTTCCATATTTCTAAATTCTAATCCCTCCATCTAATTCCCCACATAATCTCTTTTTTCCCATTTCACTAGTATATTTCACTTTTTCCTCCATTTCTTTTTTTCTCTGCAAAATTCAACTTGGTGCTTATGATCTAAAATTCCTTTTTTTCCCTCCACCCACCCCCACCCCATCTCTCTCTCTTTTCCAGCAGGTTTTGTGGACCACTTGATGCCATATTCTAAACTTGACTAGTAAGGTGAATACCACGCAGCTCTCCTTGGCCTAAAATAACGAAAAAAAAATGCAAATTATACTCAAAAAATGTTTATCAAAAATAAAATAATAATACTAGTTATCCTTTATTCATAAATAAATAAGCTCTCCTCAAAGACAAAGTTCTAATTTTTTTTATTTACCTTAATGCTCACACTGATGACAATCAAATACTTACTAGATAATATGTATTCAAATCATTGGCAAATGAAGAATGAGTATTTAACATGACCCCCCCCCCCCCCCCCCCCTCCCAAAAAGCCATTTCACTCACCTAAACCTGCCTCGTCTTGGCATGTAGCCCCCATAGCCACCCCGGAAGCCACCTCTCCTGAAGCGCCCTCTACCTCCACCACGATTGGTTGTACTGATACCAGGTTTATTTGTGCGCTTGGGCATTACCTAAATGAACAATAAACTTAAATAAAACAACTCAGCACAAAGAATACCAGTAGCTATACCAAGCTTCTCAGTATGAGGAATGGATCAAATTAAGAGCTGCATGTTTTTTTTTGTTTTTTTGTTTTGTTTTTTGTCATATTTATGAACTATACTGAAAAATATCCTGACCTTTATTTGTCTTCCCCGAAAGAGAGATTCATCTAAAGCCATTGCTGTCTGTACGGAGTCTTTGTCAGCAAATTCTATGTAGGCAAAGCTGAAAAGCAGATATCAGTAAGAAATAAATTCTTCCTTCTGTACAGTTATGTGAAACAACAACACATTATTATTAACATTTTTCATATGAGTCATACTAATACTTTTTAGAACAATTGTGAAACGAGGGGGAAAAATTTTTAAATGTGGTCATCCTTTTACATTTAAAAATATTCAACAAAATAATATAAAGGTAATTACATCTAGCTCCCTCTTTACCTCTGTACAGTACTTTTATAGAGCATTCACATCGAGAAGAGCCGAGGTCTAGCAAGGCATTCGGTGTGAATGCTCTCCTAGGCATTTGAAAAGGTAAACGACTCATTTTCAATTTTGACCAAGAATGCTTGGTCAGACTATACAGATATATATAGAACCCAGAATTAATGTTGCTTGGAATTATCTCTCTAATCATTGCACATTAGATAAATGAAAAATTTGTTAAAAGTCTACTAACCCTTTTGGATGTCCAGAGAACTTATCGCAAAGTATTGTAACCCTGTTAACAGAACCGCAGCCATGGAAATGTTGCTCCAACTCTTCTGCTGTTGTACTATAGTCAACCTAAAACAAATCACCTTTTTCCTTTTTTTTTTTTTGATTATTAGAGAAAAAATTCTCACTTTCAATCTGCATCAGTAATGAATGAAATTGAACAGAGGGGAATAAAAATGGAAAAAATCTCAATATTCAAAACAAGCAAAAAAAAAAAAAAAATGCTACTAAGCTTTAAAAAAATGAAATACAACATTAACTCAAATGTCACTAGATGTGAGTATAAGAATCCATTATCCAATTTATTGATCAACAGTAAAACCCTTTTCATATAATAAAACATTTATCCAATGATCAAAGACATCACAATGCTTACATTTCCAATGTAACAAGACCTTGAATCTGCATCAATTTTTTCTTCCATTGATGGATGGACAGGACTAGCTGATGAAGAACAACATTACAGAAATAAACAATTTGACTGAGATTTCTACTGCATTTTTTGAATTATTTTTATAATTTGTAAAAAAAGAAATTAACAAAATTAAGACAGCATAACTATTTTAAGTATCTATATTTGTTAGCATCAATTCCTTATCAAGATCTATCAAAGTTGTTCTAGACGTACCATATGCAAATTTTGTAGTTTTGTGGAAATACGTCACAGTGACATAATTTAATAGGCTCAACTAGTAGACATTACAACAGACTTTTCCTTTTGAACTTATCCCCCCCCCCCCGGCATATATATATGTAGAATAAAACCTTACAAAGACAGGAGTTTAACAACCAAGGACAATGCATGGGCTACTTTATTTCCATGCAATAAATAAACAACTTCTTTGAAGAAAAGGGAACGTCTAAGAAAAGCCACCACACTGGATATGGGTCAGAGTGACATACTTATTCCTGGAGACATATTCATTGTTTTTTCCACTTCATTTTGCATTTGCTTGAGCTTTTCTGCTTCTGCTTCCATCTCTCTAACTCGTTCTTTGATTGCTTCAAGCTCCTAGAATAATAAAATATTAATGAACTCATACATTTAAATATTGTGCTACTTCTATCTCTGTCAACATAATATTGTGTGTGTGTGAGAGAGAGAGAGAGAGAGAGAGAGAGAGAGAGAGGGACTCACAGGATCATCCACCCCTGCATCTTCTGTGCTCTCTGTTGTAACATCGGCTTCACCTTCTCCCCCTAGACCTTCGTCCTCCTGCTGCCCTTCTTCGCCATCGTAACTGTAGTCTTGCTCATGATCGCCAACTAGGTCAGGGACCGCTTCAGTTTCTGTTCCGTTTTCTGCCATATTTGATAGCCTATTACAAAAATTATGCAATTACAATACAGCACAGTATGCAAACTTTAATATTATGACCGACTGTTTCCAATTTTTTTTCGGTCGTCATTCGATGGCACAGATTTGGAATTCAACATAAGAACTACCGGCTTACCTATTCTTCACACAAAAACAGCAATGGCGGACTGAGTGTGTCAGTTGAGATAGCTGTAGATTGTGTCCTTTGTGCACAACTGAACTGTCCCCTCTGTAAGCTACACAAAGGTCATTTAGTGCACAACCAGTAAAAATACTTACTTTTAATGAAACCGACCCAAGTGCAATTTTATATAAAGATTAAACCCCGAGATAGTGGATCGAGGAATGATATTAAAGGATAGAATTTTTGTCCCAAATCCAATTTTTTTGAATACAAAAGTAATTTCACCAAATCACGAACCACTGCTCGAACAGTCCCCGACTTGGATTTGGTGTTTTATACCTCTTAATTAGACAATTATTTAGTTTTTCTATCAATCATGATTCAGAAAGGATATATCGCCGTCAGTACTATTAGCCTATAGGGCCTATGATGGTTTCAGATCTGGATTGGGATTGATAAGATATTTAGCCTACATGTAGGCTAGATATGCATCGAAAATATGACTCTGGGACATTTTCAAACAGGTATAGTATACCTTTAAGGCCACAGCCTTGTGGTGACCATACGTTCGCCGGCTGTATACCTGTAGTCAAAGCCAATGAGTGGTTTATGAAAAGTGTAAATACGATCTGCCCTAATCTCCGATCAAAATATATCCCACAATGTTGTCTGTTTGACAGGTGGATTAGGTGGATTGGGACACGAAAGCCCCAGTGGCGGATTTAGGGGTGTCCGGGGGGGGGNGTAATAGTGGCATATGTCATTTATGTTTATGTGATTGTTTGGTCATACTTTGCCATAACCAGTAAATATTTTTTTTTATCATTATGCATTTGAAGAATGCAGAAATTGAACTCTAAAAACAAAAAATCACGTTCAGCCTGGCAGTACGTATATTGAAGCATTTGGTGGAGTAGAATTTTTTAAGTTGTAACCAGTTGGCAGATACATAATATTGCACTCTGAATAGTGTATTTTATGTATACCCCTATTTGACAATGTATGATAAACTCTCAATTGCTTTTGCATTTCAGATCGCATGAAGGAAAATCGTAGGAAATCACCTAGTGAGACAGACATATAATTTAAGTGAGAACAATACTAGACAGGCCCTGGCTGCCATCATTTGTAGCTCATTGTGTCCATTGAGGCTCCTGGAGCATCAAAGATTGCATATGGTGAGACACCAGAAGGAATATAGATTGCATATGTTGAGACATCAGGCTTAATACAAATTGTGTTAGTTGAGACATAAGGCTAAATACAGATTGTGTTAGTTGAAAAACCAGGAGCAGTTCAGATTGTTTGGTGAGACACCATATATTATTTTGTTTGGATTAGGTGAAACACTGAAAGCAATACAGATTGCGTTAGATGAGACCCCAGAGGCCAGGTTAACTGCATTGGATGTGGTACTAAACCGATTTTACATTGTGTTGGGTGAGACAGCCTCTTAGCTGTTAGATAACGACCTGAAAAATGACTGCGGGACACTTTAGGAGCAGTGCTTGGGATCCATTTCTAATAATTGCTCAGATTATTTCCATGCAGAGTGCTTTCTATGTGGGCCTAGGAGTCTGGATTGCTATGGTGGACTTTGTTGCAGGAGCAGATAGGTCACTGGAACAGTTTTTTAAATATGAGGTAATGTGAAGTCTTGAAATTGTGCCAAGTGTGATTAATGTGATACAATAATCATTCTTTTTCTCTTGTTCATTGCATCTTAACACTAATTAAAACTCTTAGAATTGTGCTAAAAAGTTGCTACAACTTAGAACTTTTAGCCATATCCCATTTTCTTGTTCATTTTTGGCAGAGAGTTTCATTAATTTGCTTCATACTGATTTTCATAATGGAATAAGAAAGGGTACGTTAGCTTAAAAGAGTTCACCTAGCAGATGGATATATATATTAAAACTGATTTTATTTTGTATACAGTAATTGTTTTTCTTATTTATTTCAGGAACTTCAGTTTAAAGAATTCACAGGAAGATTAATCATGGGTGCTTTTGTTTTAAATTCTTTAACATGGTAAGCATTCACCAAATACCATTTTAACAAGTGCAGTTGAAGTGAATTTTTCATGCACACACAAATGTGCACATGCATGCAAGCAGGCACTGCTTACAGTCATTAACATGGCTTTGGTAACCAAAAACTTTATTTACATAAATTAGATTAATATATTAATTTTTTATACTAAGCTCTACATGTATGGGACATGCTAATGTTGAGTTGATGTTGATCAGATCAGCCCACAAAGATGTGTACTACTATATTGTATATTTTGGTGGGATTTTACTACTGTAACACAGCCAAAAGGCCAAGACTGCATTGTCTGTCTGTTGGGCCAGATTTCTTCGGTTAACATGATGTGATTCAAGATATGTATATAAAGCTATATTCACTGTACACTGTGCAAATATATCTATATTCACTGTATGCTATATGTTACTGTTACCTATTTTCACTGTACATTACAGTGCATTGGGCTTGTGGTACACAGTCAAGAGGACAAAGCTTTGTTTAGACTTTGCCAGTACCGTCCATCTTATCCACTTGGTGGTGTGCTGGGGATACAATGCAAGGTTTCCTTACACAGTCTCCTGGTGGCTAGTGAACATCATCTGTATAGTACTCATGACTGTTCTGGGAGAGTTCTTATGTATGAGAAGTGAACTAAAAGCAATACCATTGGGAATGGGACCCAAGGCAGATTTATAGCTCTGGACATGGGTAACTTATGGCTTAAATTTTTGGATTTATTTTTTAGAAGAAATGTCGTTGGGTTGCTAGCCAGGAGAAAGAAGTACTGGAAAGATGGGAGGATTTTAAATTGGAGCCAAGGCTTTGCTTGTCACATGGGGGAAAAGTTTTGGTTGCTGTGGACATGGAGACCATACCGTTGAAAATAAGTTTGATGGTTGTGGACATGGACACAATATCATTCAATCATTGGAAAAAAGTTTGGTGTCTCCCTGAATTTGTATGTGTATCTGAACCCTCTACAGGGGTAATAGAAATATGACGCTGTTTTTAAGAGGGCCTGCATCAATGGATACACGCATGACAGGACATTTCCATGACTGTGTCACTGGAATGTCATCCAAAACATGGTGAAGACTAAGTCAGTTGGATTTTCTTGCAATGGTTAGAATTTGCTGGAAATATACTTCGATATACTAGTTTATTGTAATGTTGGTTATTTGTTTTCTTCATTTGAAATGGACTACTGATAAGCTGAATTGGAGTAAGACCCACAAGCTAGTGAAAATGGGGACCTTAAGTTGATGTTTATGACACTTATTTTGATCAACCACACTTTATAAAAATTTACTGAATGAATTAATTTATTATTTATATATTATATTTTCTCTTTTGCCAAACTGAAGAAAAGAGGTGGTGACAACTCAGAATGAAGTTGGTGTCATAAATTATATTCTCCTTTTCTCTGTCCACATTGAAAAAAAAGTTTTGCAGCAGATTTGTATTCTGTGAACAATACACCCAGAAAATGTCACAGTCCTTAATGGGTCATTTCACTGTATTTTTCACCTGTTGATCATTTTACCCACTTTTGTACCTTAACGTATAGGTAAAAAAAAAAGATGGGGAGATGTAAGATGAAAAGTTTTGTAAGGGGAAAATAGACCCTTGAAGGAAAAGAAGTGCAATGCATATGAGGTTTACAGTTTGAGTGTTGAACACTGGTCACAAGTAAAGGACAGTGTTGATCAAGGGTCAATGGTACAAGGTGGCCAAGCCTTTTTTTTTAATTAGTTTGGCAAATTGTTTCATTAAGCTATTCAAATTATAATTATATTGAAATTCACATTCCTTTTCTTATCTTTTAAAAACCTTTAAAGGTGTAGAAGTTGGCGATTCCTTGTAAAATTAGTTTGATATTGACTGCATTTTTTTTTTCTAATTCGAAGAAAATTGAATTTT